ATCAAGATATGATAAGGGATCAACAAGAAATGATAAGGAATCAACAAGAAATGAAGAATACATTGTCTGAAATAAAAGCTATTATACAGAGTCCTAAAAACAGAAGGGAAGATCGCAAGAATCAAGTCAAAGAATTGGAACATAAAGAGCCAGAAGAAACTCCTCTGCAGAAGCTAGAAGGCAAGAGAATCCAGAAAATTGAAGATGATGTAAGAAACCTCTGGGACAACTTCAAACGATTCAACATCAGAATTATGGGGGTCCCAGAAGATGAGAGAGAGCAAGATATCGAAAACATATTGAAAGAAATAGTGACAGAAAACTTCCCCCACCTGGGGAAAGAATTGGACTTACAAGTCCAGGAAGCACACAGAACTCCAAATAAAAGGAATCCAAAGGGGACCACACCAAGACAAATCATAATTAAAATTCCAAGAGCAAAAGACAAAGAGAAAATATTAAAAGCAGCAAGACCTATAAAGGAGCACCCATACGATTGTCAGCTGACTTCTCAACAGAAACCATGCAGGCCAGACGGGAATGGCAAGAAATATTCAAGGTGATGAATAGTAAGAACCTACAGCCAAAAATAATCTATCCAGCAAAGCTATCACTCAGATTCGAAGGTCAGATAAAGAGCTTCACTAATAAAAAAAAGCTAAAGGAGTTCATCACCACCAAACCAGAATTATATGAATTGCTGAAGGGGGTTCTTTCAGAAGAGAAAGTAAATAAAGATAAAAATTATGAACAACAAATACGTAACTATCAACAAGTGAATCTAAAAACCAAGGAAATTAAAAAAAAATCTGAGGAACAATATTAACTGTTGAATATAATAGAATCAGAGGTATGGAAGGGGAGTGAACTGATGATTCTTGGGAAAAGGGGAGAGGGTGATATGGGAAGAGACTGAACATAAACTGTGCACCTATGGATGAGGACAATGGGGGGGTGGGGAAAGGGCAGAGGGTGGGGTGGGAAGGGGGGGGGAGGGACATTTGTAATAATATGAACAATAAAAATTAAGAAGAAAAAAAAAGAAAAATAAATAAAAACAGAAAAAAAATAAAAAAAGGAAGTTCGAAAGAAAGAAAGAAAGAAAGAAAGAAAGAAAGAAAGAAAGAAAGAAAGGAAGGAAGGAAGGAAGGAAGGAAGGAAGGAAGGAAGAAAGAAAGAAAGAAAGAAAGAAAGAAAGAAAGAAAGAAAGAAGGAAAGAAAGAAAGAAAGGAAGGAAGGAAGGAAGAAAGGAAGAAATGTGAGGGGGGAGTCCCTGGAGAAATGGCCACTCTGGTCTTTGAGGATCTTGAGGAGGAGGAGGAGGAGGAGGAGGAGGGCACTTCCCACAGGGAGCCATTTAAACCGCCTTGAGGGCCTCTTGTCTTTGAGCCCTGGCTTCAGGCCAACCTTTGGAACTCGGCCACACCACCAACAGCCCCCTCTTGAAGCCCAGCCAGATTTCCCCAGTTTGAGAAGCTTTTCCACTCACGCCATGCCCTCCCTCGGTCCTCCCCTAACTCCTAACAACCCAGCAGCTTCCGGCCCTAATGTTTAGCCCAGTCAGTCAACTGGGAGCTTGCTAATTAAAGCTAGCTCTGAAAGAAACCTCAAAGAGCAGGGAGAGGAGTGGAGAGAAAGAGCACGGAGTTACATCCATTCATCCTGAGGGAGAATAACCAGGGTGGGGAGTTGTAAGGAGAGGTGGGCAGAAAGAGAGACTCCCGTTCTCCGGACACAGTGCACCTTTTCTCCATCTCTCCCAAAGGCAACTGGGGCTGAGCTTCACCGACAGCAGAAATGACGGCTGGACAGTAAGCAAGAAGGGCCCAGCAAAAGAGCAGCTGGAGGATGGCCCTGAAGTGATCCCCTGCAGTCCCCAGATACACACCCATGTCCTCTGTCCAGCTCTAGGGCAAAGGAACTGCCAGCATGCAGGAGAAGAGGGCAGGGCTTATACTGGCAGTCTCTATGCAGAATACTGGCAATCTCTATGCTGATTGTGAAAATGTCAGACAGCCGTGCCAAGCAGGGTGAGGGTAACCCAGGATGGGCCTGGCTCTTTCCCTGTGTCAGCCTATCCTTAACATTCACAGACTGACCACTGAAACCCCCAACACCAATCACCCTCATTCACCCCTGCCCTCTGTTTCACGCCCCCCCCCCCCAGCCATCATTCTCTGGTACTTCTTCCCACCCCTGCCCTTCTTTCCCAGGCTCCACAGCTCTGGGAGAAAGACACCAGGCAGTTCCGGTCTGCCTCTATTCTGCTGGCTCACTGCAGTTAGAGCAGGAGCCAGGGTGGAGGTGGGGGAGGGCTGGGAGAGGCGGCCCTGTGATGCTCTCACTCTTCAAGCTTTCCAGAGATCAGCCGTTCTCTGGAGCAGAGCCTCTTCCCAAACACTCCTCCCCTGCCAGGATTCCCCTCACCTGAGGTCTGAGCTGAAAGGGCCTGGTGACAATAGACAGGGCCTCCCTTCCCGGGGTCTCTCCCCTAGTGTCTGCAACACAGAGCAGTGATTCCACTCAGGCTTTGCAACCAGAGAGTCTGGATTTGTAGCCTACCTCTACTTCCTGTGAGCTCTGTATCTGGGATGCTTCATCTGCAAACTATTATACTTTACAGGAGAGTTCTAGGGATTAAATTAATTAATACATGTAAAGTGCTTGACCCATGGTAAGTACTCAGGAAATATTGGGGGGGAAATAGTTATCCTATATAATAAAAGCCTACTATGCAAATCAACCAAACAGCAGAACAACTGGTAGAACGACCAGTCGCTATGATGCACACTGACCACCAAGGGGCAATTGCTCAACACAGGGGCTGCCCCAGCTCACAGACCCCAGGCCAGCCAAGGCAGGTGCCAGTGCCCCCCCTCCCCAATCACCAGCCGGTCACCCCACAGAGGGAGTCAACCTGTGGTGGTGGCTGGGGCTGGGCCAGCAAGGAGGTGCAGCCAGGCGGGCCAAAGTGGGTGCCAGTTGGGGGAGCCCCTTATTGCCCTGCCAGTTGCCCCACAGATCAGCCCTGATGGCCAGCCAGGCCGAGGAACCCTACCTGCTTCATGCACCAGGCCTCTAGTACACATATAAGCATAGACACATGCGTACATAGTGTCAGCATTTTTATTCAGAATTTTTATTTTGGCACTTAATGTTCTGCTTTATGCTACCACTTAACCAATTCACTCATTAATTTTTTGATGTCCACACATCTCCCAGGAATTAAGATGCTACTCTGCAAATAGCTGAATGATTCAAAGTAATCAACTCATCCTCAGAAAATTCAAAATGGATGTTTTATCCTAATTCAGTCAGCGCCCATTTCTCCACCTCCTGCAAGTAGATTTGATAAAGTCAGTTTTCAACTATGTAACTGAATCACAAAATGAGAAAAAGCCAAAGTTTGAAATAGCTTCAGATATGGTTTAGTCTCGTGATTCTCAACCTTTGATGCATTTTAAAATCACCTGACCAACTTTTTGTCTGGGCTCCACATTCCTCAGAGATCTAGTTAATTAGTCTAGGGTTGGGGAATTTTTTAAAACTTCCCCGTGTGATTCTAACGTTTAGCCCTTATTTCACTAAGGAAAAAAAAAAAAAAATCCAGAGTGAGTAAGCAATTTGCCCAAAGTCACCCAGCATGTCAGTGCATGGTGACTAAGAGAGACTGTGGCAATGGCAAGAACATGTTGATGATGTTTATAATTTTTCTTGGAGTAATCCTGGAAGCATTTATCTTAGTTCAGAGAGGTATTAAGTCATTTACCGTTTACTGTGACAGCAGCATTTATTCTTCTGGTAAGAGTGAAATGGGTTCCCACTCCCTGACCACAGAAGGACAGTGATGGCATTGCGCATTACTGCACTTAGCCACAATTAGCCAAGCTCCCGAGGAGGCCACTTGAGGTGCCTAAAATGCTGCTTCCCTACAATGATCACCAAGCGCTGAGCGACCTCAGCAGTGGTGAGGAGAGAGGGGGCTGGAAAAGAAAAGAAAGCGGCCCTTCCTAGAGGGAAGGAAGTGAGAGCAGCTGAGAACTGGCCAGAGCTGCCAGGAGGGAAAGGCAAGAAAGGAAAAGTATTTCAATGAGCCTAGGGTGCCTCTGCTCCGCCAACAACCAAACCATAATGGGCAGCCTGGCAACATCCACCCTTTCCCCCCCAAACCCCCCCCCTACACACACAAACACACACACCAGGAGCCTGAAATCCAAATAAATGTTAAAAACTGGCTCTGTCCCTAGCCGGTTTGGTTCAGTGGATAGAGCGTGGGCCTGTGGACTGAAGGGTCCTGGGTCCGATTCCTGTAAGGGGCATGTACCTGGCTCACAGGCTCCTCCCCCACCCGGGCCCTAGTCAGGCATGTGCAGGAGGCGGCCAATCGATGTGTTTTTCTCAGATTGATATTTCTCTCTGTCTCTCCCTCGCTCTTCTACTCTCTAAAAACCAATGGGAAAATATCCTCAAGTGAGGATTAAAAAAAAAAAAAAAATGGCTCTGCACCTGTCTGGTTTGCTCAGTGGTTGAGCATCGACCCATGAACCAGAATGTCAGGGTTCTATTCCTGGTCAGGGCACATGCCCAGGGTTGCGGTTCCATCCCCAGTGGGGGGCGTGCAGGAGGAAGCCAATCAATGATTGTCTCTCATCATTGATGCTTCTCTCTCTCTCTCCCTCTCCCATCCTCCCTGAAATAAATTTTTAAAAAATATATTTATTCTTAAAAATTGGCTCTGCAATATGAGTGATAAAGAAGACTCCTCCCAACATTCACCAAAAAGTGAACTACCAATAAAGACAAGAGCTCCAACTCTTGACTATTCCCTTTCTTCCCAGTCAAGATCTCACTGCCTGCCAACCTGGCTGCAGAGGGGCGGTCCCGGCGTCACGTGACAGGGCGGTCACGTGGCGCGGGCCCTCGGCGCGGAAGAGCGCGTCCATCTCGGGGAGTCTGAGGGGGCGGCTGCCCGGCCCCCCTGCCCCCGGCCCGCCGCGGCCATGCTGTCCCGCCTGCTGAAGGAGCACCAGGCCAAGCAGAACGAACGCAAGGAGCTGCAGGGTGAGCCCGGAGCCCGCCTGCGCGCCCAACGCCCCGCGGCCTAGCCTCAGCCCGGAGCCCGGACCTCGAGTAACGCCCAGATCCAGGGACGGGCGCGGGCTAGTGGACGCGGGAGGAGGAGGAGGAGGGGGAGGGGAGCTTCTTTGGAAAGTCCGTCCCGGTGCCCACGGGCTCGGGTCCCTTCACCGTCACCCGCGTCCCCCTCGGAAACGCCCCTGGGCCGGGCCGCCCGGCCTCGCGGCCCCGCCCCTGCCCCGGAGCGCCGTGCCGATTGGTCCAGGCGGCCGCTCCTCCGGGAGTGGGCGGGGCTCCAGCGGGGAGGAGGTGTTGGGGACCCGCCGGAGAGGGGGTTCTTGGAGGCCGGAAACCGCCGAAGCAAGTGCGGGGCGCTGGTTTCCTGAGCCCGGGCTTGGAAATCCGGAGTCACCTAGGCCAGGAAGACGGGGAAAGCGTGCCAGGGAGTCTGAGCCCTGGACGTGACGGCCCTGAGCCGGACGCTTCCCCCCTCCGGGCACCGGTGTCCTCACCTCGGACATGAGAGGTGTGTCTGTCTGGCAAAGTCCTTTCAGCTCGGGCGCTCTGAGATGAGTTGTTCCCACAACTAGCAGGACAGTGATGAGCAGGGGAAGCCTCCCAGCAGCACCCCGCAAAAACACTCCAACCCCTTCCCCCTCCCTCCCCCCAGAGAAGAGGAGGCGAGAGGCTATCACTGCAGCGACCTGTCTGACGGAAGCTCTGGTGGATCACCTCAATGTGGGGTATGACCCTCTTCCCGTCCACACCTGCTGCCCACCCCAAGTGTAGGCGGGCAAGCCCTCCCCGCAGCCTGCCCTGGGAGGGCGGAGATGTCCTGCTTGTCCCCTTCCCCGCCCCGCCCAGTGTCCGTGTGAGGAGGGAGGCCTGAGTCAGCTCTGAGCCATAGCGTGGTCAGGGGAGAGCAGCTGCAGTGGTCTGAGAAGCAGCCAGATCTCTCCCTCCTCCCAGTAACTTCCCGGTGCTCACCATCTGATGCCATCTGCCCACCTCCTTGCACCCCTCAGTCCAGCTGTCGCTGTGGCTTACCGCCTTCTCCACCTCCCACCCTCTGGCCGGCCTGGGAGCAGCTGGCAGGAAAGATATGGCACAGCTGGTGAGGGTGAGAGCCAGACCTCTGCCAGGCGCTCAGCCAGGCTGCCTCTGCCCTTCCTTCTGGGCATGGGGGTAGGGGTTTGTTTTTTTTTTGAAAGTCTGTCCCCGTGCCAACGGGCTCCAGGGACCACCCTCTGCTGCAGTCCTAAATGAGAATGTCATTAACAGCCAGAAACTTGGGAAGGAGCTGGGAATATTCCCTTGCCCGTGAGTGACCCAGGAGAGCACGGAGATGACGATTTGATAGGCCGCTTGTTGGGAGAAAGGAGGCCGTTATGATGCCTTCCACCCCCGGGCACATAGTTGTGAATCCAGAGCCTGAGTCACCAGTGAGCCGGGCAAGGGCTGCCATCTTCATTACTCATTTCTGGGCAGGATTCGGGGGAGAAAGGCTGTGGTCAGGGCCTCTGACCGCCCTCCCCTCCAGGCCTCTCCCTTCACTCAGTTTGAATAAGGGAGAGCAGGAGATCAACTGGAAAAACTGAGATTTTAGGAACTCCCGGAGGAATCTGGAAACATTGGGAGCCCCCTACTCTTACTGTTTCCGCTTCTACACTGCCCCCTCCTGCGTGCGGCCAGCTGTGCCCAGGGACAGGGTTACCCTCACACCCATGCACTGGCGCCTCCTGGCTCTGCTGTGACGTCGGCCGGCTCCTTCCTTTGCTAGGAGCCCCCCCACTTTCAGTGTAGAGGGCAGCTAAGCCAAAGCCAGATTAGAAAGGGTTTTGTGTTGCTGCCCACAGCTCCTCTCGTTCCCCGGAAAGGAGCACAAAGGCCCTATCTATCTCAGCCCCTGTCAGGTGTCCTTCCCTCTCTCTCCGCGCCCCGACCCCTTGCCCTCTCCAGCCCCCACACATTCCAGGGGGGCGGGGGGCGCCGGATGTGGAGTCTCAGCTGACCTAGAGCTTTGGGGTGGGCAGTGAAAGATTCACCAGCCAATAAGAGAGAACAGTTATTACACAATCATTGGGTTCGGGGGAATGGAGGCAGGCAGAGAATTGAGGATACCAACCTCTTGGCAGTAATGGTAATTGTAGCCAGCGCCTTGATTGGGGAGAAAAGAAAATAGAGCAGAGGAAGGAAGGGAGAAAGTGTGCGTGTGTGGGCGAAAGGAGGAGGGTCGGGCGAGAGTCTGAGCCAAGAAGCATCTTCTCTTGACCCTGAGTTCCTGGGGAGGGGGCTGCTCTCCCATCCGACCCCAGATTCAGGGAGTGGCCAAAGTTTCCTTCCCACCCTGCACAGATCCCTGGGCTTCCAGTTGCTGCCAGAAGTGTCCCTCCTACTGGATCTTCCCAGCTTCTCCCATCTCCCCCTTTTTCTTCCCAGCTCTTTACTCACCGATACCCCCCCACCAGGCTAGCCCTGCTTCCCCACCCCCTTCAGGAGCTCTGGGGGGCGGGAGATGGGGTGCTTCTACGCCGCTCCCAGCTGGGGTCTGCTGAGAACCCTGGGAGTGGTTCGTTTGCATGTGCTAGTCTTGTTGCGTCACATCCCAGCCTGGTCACAGTCATGGTCACAGCCACGAGGTTGTCCCCAGCCTGACCCAGGCTGGCCTCCCACGCGTGCAGGGGGTATTGGTCCCGGAGACCACACTCGCCCCCTCCTCCACCCTGTAGTGTGGCCCAGGCCTACATGAACCAGCGGAAGCTGGACCATGAGGTGAAGACCCTTCAGGTCCAGGCTGCCCAGTTCGCCAAGCAGACAGGCCAGTGGATCGGGATGGTGGAAAACTTCAACCAGGCACTCAAGGTGAGCCACTCCCGACCGCATCCTCCTCCCCATCCTGGGCCCCCACTGGCTGCCTCCGGGAGGGTCACCTCAGGCCTGGGCTAACGAGGAAGCAGAGGGCCCCAGAAACCCCATCTGTGGCCCCGGGGTCAGAGGCTAGAGAAAGGGGAAGGGAGTTGGGGGGTCCAAGCCCTTTGTAGGGGTGGGTGGGAAGCGCCCCCATCCACCCACTAGAGGCTCACCCTGATTGGGGACTCCCGCCCTCTCCCCTCCCAGGAGATCGGGGATGTGGAGAACTGGGCCCGGAGCATTGAGATGGACATGCGCACCATTGCCACGGCCCTGGAATACGTCTACAAAGGACAGCTACAGTCGGCCCCGTCCTAACCCTGCTCCCCTCCCCCTCCCCATGGACACAAATAAAACACAAGCCTCAGTTTCTCTGTGATACATTCCAAGGAGCTACTAGCTCAGCAGAGGGGTGGGAGGGGGAGGGTCGCAGACGTTTCCCTAAGGGACAGGTGCCCGTTGGGTGACCGGAAGTCACCCAGAGGTCCCAGTAGGGGCCCTGCCCAGCAAGCGTCCTAACTTTTCCGCAGGGGAGCAATAGGCAGGGAGCAGGCCTGGCCCGCCTCTGGGGCTCTGCCTCCACGTGCTCAGGCCTCTCCCAGCCTGGTACTAAGCCGTGTCATGAGTCTGGACCTCGTGGGAGATTAACTCTTGGGCGTGGGAGCACTTTGGAGGAGAAATGACAGATCCCAGGTCACCAACAGGCAGGGGCAGCTGTCCTACTTGATAGATCCTGCCTGCTGGGAGTCTACCACCGAGTTGACCAGGAACCCCGGCTGGAAAAGGTAGCCAGGAAGAGGGTCTGGGCACTCCTGGCCCGTGCCAAGCCACGGCTGACCGGCTTCCACTTCCCTGGCTCCGCCTCTCAGTGTTCCCCCTCCCGCCCCCCACATACACTTATACCTCTGGCACCGTCCACCGCCGTGGACTTTGGCCTTAGCTGGGCTCCTGGGGGAGCGGGGGACTGGGAGCAAAGGAGGAAGCTGGTGTAGCACCTGCCAGCTCCCCGCAGAGGAGGTAAGCAGGGCGGGCGCTGGGCGGCTGGGAGGACTTTGAGGTATCGGTATTGCACGTGCTGATAACTCCCGCTTTAAGCTCCAACGTGCCTCCTCACACTTCTCCCTTTTGATCCTCCACAACTCCCCCGGGGGCATGGCGGGTGCTAGTCCCACTGGGCAGGTGAGAAGACAGGTCCAGAGACGCAGTGAGATGCTCAGCATCACGATAAGTTTGGGGCCTCCGGGACTGAAGCGCAGGGCTCTTTGCCCGTGCGTGTTTCCTGAGACAAGGCCCAGCTTAATTTAGAGAGTCCAGGGGTCCCTGGTTTAGCAGGAGATAAAAGGTGACAGCAGGCTGCCCTCGGAAAGGGGCTTTCCTGGTGTTCATTGTCTTCCACCAGTAAAGGGGCTGCCCAGATCCTGGCTATGCCCAGAGGAGGCATAATTTGCCATCTATCTGCCATACAGATGCTGAGGCCAGAAACTTCCAGCTACTGAGGCTATTAGGGTAAGGTGACCAGACGTCCCGCTTTTGGCGGGACAGTCCCAATTTTTAACAATTTGTCCCGCGGCGATTTAAAAAAGTCCAGATTTTTTCCCCAAAAATCAGGACTTTTTAAAAAAAATATTTTATTGATTTTTTACAGAGAGGAAGGGAGAGAGAGAGAGAGACAGAAACATCGATGAGAGAGAAACATCGACCAGCTGCCTCCTGCACACCCCCTACCGGGGATGTGCCCACAACCAACATACATGCCCCTGACCGGAATCGAACCCGGGACCTTTCAGTCCGCAGACCAACGCTCTACCACTGAGCCAAACCGGTTTTGGCAAATCAGGACTTTTTTAAAACTCCGCGGGGCAAATTGTTAAAAATCAGGACGTCTGGTCGCCTTATGTTGGGAGCACGGGCCCCAGGGCAGAGTAAGCCGCACGTGCCCTCCTGCCCGGCTCGCTGCCCCTGCAGATCCCGGGGCGGCCATGTGGCTGCCCGTGCTGCTGGGCGCCTTCCTCTGGGCAGCGCTGTGGCTGCGCAGAGACCGGCAGCGCCTGCCGCCCAGCGATGCCTTCGTCTTCATCACCGGCTGCGACTCCGGCTTCGGGCGGCTCCTGGCGCTGAGGCTGGACCAGAGGGGCTTCCGAGTCCTGGCCAGCTGCCTGACGCCCTCGGGGGCAGAGGACCTGCAGCGGGCCGCCTCCTCCCGCCTCCACACCACCCTGCTGGACGTCACCGACCCCCCGAGTGTCCAGCGGGCGGCCACATGGGTGGAAGCGTGTGTTGGGGACACAGGTGAGCCTGGTGGGAGCCCCTGGGAACATGGGGTAGGGGGTTCACTCCCATGGGCAGCGGGAGCCAGGGGCACCGGGGAAGGGCAGTGCTCAGGCCTGCCCTGCCCTCGGTGACTCCCCGCCTCCCCACAGGTCTCTTTGGTCTGGTGAATAACGCCGGGGTGGCCGGCATCATCGGGCCCACGCCGTGGCTGACCAGGGAGGACTTCCGGCGGGTGCTGACTGTGAACACACTAGGCCCCATCGGCGTCACCCTGGCCCTGCTGCCTGTGCTGCAGCGGGCCCGGGGCCGGGTGGTCAACATCACCAGCGTCCTGGGGCGCCTGGCAGCCAACGGTGGGGGCTACTGTGTCTCCAAGTTTGGCCTGGAGGCCTTTTCAGACAGTCTGAGGTGAGGGGGGCAGGGTCCGCCCTGCAAAGATCACCAAAACATGTCATGGAACACTTCAGAGGAGCTAGCCTAGGGCTGACTTCATAGGCCAGCCTCTCATGTGAGTTTTGTGACCTTAGTGGGTTAGTTCTCTTTATCCCAGTTTAGTCCTCATCTGTCGGATCAGGATGAGAAGACCAGTGCCGTGGGTGTTGAAGGGCCCCAGGTTCAATTCCTGTCAAGGTCACATGCCTTGGTTGCAGGTTCCCCGGCCCTGGTCAGGGTTCATGCAGGAGGCAACAATTGAGGTATCTCTCTCACATTGATGTTTCCCTCTGTCTCTCCCTTCCACTCTCTCTACAAATCAATGGAAAAATATCTTCAGATAAGGATTAACAAAAGAAAATACCTCAAAAAGCCTGCTATCATTATTACTATTATTAATAACTAGAGGCCCAGTGCACGAATTTGTGCAAAGGTGGAGTCCTGGGGTCCCTTGGCCTGGCCCGCGATTGGGGCCGATCGGGGCCTGTCTCACCCAGTCCTAATCAGCCGGACCCCAAAAGCAAGCTAACCGACCTGCTGGAGTATCTACCCTCTGATGGTCAGTGCACGTCATAGCTACTGGTCAATTGGTCCGACCAGTCAGTCGGACACTTAGCATATTAGTCTTTTATACAGAGAGATGACTATTACAATGAGATAGTACTTTTACATATTTTCTCAATTCTCCCAGCAGCGCTATCAGAGTATGTATTAATATCCATAGTGTAACATAACTTACCCAAGACCACTGAGCTTGGTCATTCTGTTCTCCTGCCCCTCATCTTTATTTATATTTTTAAAACATATTTTATTGATTTTTTACAGAGAGGAAGAGAGAGGGATAGAGAGTTAGAAACACCGATGAGAGAGAATCATCGATCAGCTGCCTCTTTCACACTCCCTACTGGGGATGTGCCCGCAACCAAGGTACATGCCCTTGACCGGAATTGAACCTGGGACCCTTGAGTCCACAGGCTGACGCTCCATCCACTGAGCCAAACCGGTTTCGGCCCGTCTGTCATTTAATTTTCCATTTGACACATGAAGCACATACTTTATACTTGGACTTCTGCATCCGTGCTGGGGTGGTTGGATGTATCCCCACTTTCCTCCCAGCAAATACTAGTCTGCGCCTTCCTATCCAGAACGCGGGACTCCACCCTGTGTTTGGGGGGTTAGGGAAATGCGTTCCTCTAGGGCTGCAGTTGGCAAGCCATGGCTCTCAGGCCAGACCTGGCCAGCTGCCTATAAGCCAATAATGGTTCTTACATTTTTAAATGATTACATAGGTACCTACGTCATATTTTTAGTCCTGCATTAAGAAAATATTTGCTATCTAGACCCAACCCCTGCTCTAGGCTGTAGAAGAGAATACAAAGGGAAAAAACTCCCTCTCTCTGTCCCCATTTGCCCCTCATCCCAGGGCACCAGCGTATCCCTTAGTCAGGACCCTTGTCCCTGGTTTAATAACTTTCCCATCATAGGCCCCCACCCGTGTCCCTGAACATCCCCTCCGTTAGGGCAAGAACCCAAACCCTCCACTCCTCTCCAGGAGGGACGTGGCTCCTTTTGGAGTCCGAGTCTCCGTCGTGGAGCCTGGCTTCTTCCGAACGCCCGTGACAAATCCGGAGAGTTTGGAGAGCGCCCTGCGGGCCTGCTGGGCACGGCTGCCTCCAGCCACACAGGCCCACTACGGGGATGCCTTCCTGACTCAGTGTGAGTAGTGGCCCACGCGGGGGGAAAGGCCAGCCTGCCCCAGCCTGCCGGGAGGAGGGAGGAAGGGCAGTCCGGGAGTGGGTGCCTTAGGACACCCAGGCCACGTGGAGCCTGCCCGTTCCCCCTAACTGGGGACGGGATTAAGGACCCCTCCCACCTCTGCTGGGCAACAAGCTCCAGGACCCAGAAGAGGGCCCGAGATGGGCTGCAGTGGGACAGGGACACTGATTCCAACCACCCCTGGGCTGCAGACCTGGAAGTGCAGCAGCGCGTCATGAGCCTGATCTGTGACCCGGACCTGACCAAGGTGAGCAGGTGCCTGGAGCATGCCCTGACTGCTCGTCACCCCAGGACCCGCTACAGCCCAGGCTGGGACGCCAAGCTGCTCTGGCTGCCAGCCTCCTACCTGCCCGCCAGCCTGGTGGACGCTGTGCTCACCTGGGTCCTTCCCAAGCCCGCCCAGGCAGTCTAGAGTCCAGCAACAGATGGTTCTTCAAATACAAGAACTCTGTCCTCACCCTGCACTTCCTGGTGCCTGGCACAAAATAGGCACTCAATAAATGTTCTTTTAAAAGTTAATGGGCAGCCGAAACCGGTTTGGCTCAGTGGTAGAGCGTCGGTCTGCGGACTGAAAGGTCCCAGGTTCGATTCCGGTCAAAGGCATGTACCTGAGTTGCGGGCACATTCCTGGTGGGGGGGGGGTGCAAGAGGCAGCTGGTCGATGTTTCTCTCATCGACGTTTCTAGTTCTCTATCTATCTCCCTTCCTTACTGTAAAAAAATCAATAAAGTATATTAAAAAAAAAAAAAAAAGTTAATGGGCAGCCGAAACCGGTTTGGCTCAGTGAATAGAGCGTCGGCCTGCGGACTGAAAGGTCCCAGGTTTGATTCCGGTCAAGGGCATGTACCTTGGTTTCGGGCACATGCCCAGTGAGAGGTGTGCAAGAGGCAGCTGATCAATGATTCTCTCTCATCGATGTTTCTAACTCTCTATCCCTCTCTCTTCCTCTCTGTAAAAAATCAATAAAATATATTAAAAAAAAAAAAAAAAAAGTTAATGGGCAGAAATGAAGGTGCGTGTTCTCTGTCCAGTGCCTGCAAAATAGCTAACACCCACTGGAGGGCGCAAGAGGGATGCATCGCTAATTGGTCTTTAAAGCTGCACATAAATGGCCACTAGAGGGCACTATTGGATGTTTCTTGGAGTAAAAATGCACTTCAGCGTTTGGGAATGGCCCTTATTTTTCTTGGGGGGCAAGGGAAAGAAGTATGGAGGAGTCGCGTCTAGGCTGGAAAAAAGGCAGCACTCACTTAAGTTCCTATTATCTAAGTCAAGGAGGAGGCCACTGGCCACACAGATGTCAGAGCAACTCATCACCACCCTGAAAGGAGGCAGGGCCCTGCTGGGGAGGGAGTTGCTGGGCCGTGAGTTGGACAGAAGGCCAAGAAGTTCGCGGCAGATGGCATGGCGGGCCTCTCCCAGGTAGGACTTTGTGAGTTTCACTGCAGTACTGAGCCCAGCAGCACACAACTGGGAAATAGGGAGGGCAGTGGGTCACAGCCTCCTTCCCAATCCCACTGCCAGGGCCATCCCAAGCAACCTTCACAGACACCCCCCAAAACAGGCCTTTCTTTCCTGGAGGTGCACGAAAAACAAAGGCCCAGGGCACAGGAGCGTGGATGAGGAGAGAAAAGGGATAAAGTATCACTCAAGACAGTCTTTTTGATCTGAAAAAATAATCAGTTTAATTGAAAACTGTGGAGCATATTATCCCACTCTCCTGGATGAGGGGCTAAAGAGACCAGGGCCCCTACATCACTTCATAGCCACTTTGGATACTCTTCACAAGGCAGCAGGCAAAGATAATTCCCAGGACCTAGAAGGAAAGGCGGGGGTCAGGGGGTAGAGGAGACAGAAAGGCAAGGTACCCTCAACCACCCGAGAGCCCCAAACACACCGGGGCTCCCCTCCCCAGAGGAGTACCTCCCGCCCCCTGCCCCTCCTCTCCAGATGTCCTGGAAGGAGCCCCAAAGGTGCCTCTCACCTCCACAAAGGCAATGCCCAGGGCCGCTGCAGCCACCACCAGCACGTGGCCCTTCAGCCAGGCCCCAATCTTCTCCACACAGCCCTGAGGGCAGCAGACAGACAGGGCGAAGACACCGTCAAAAACTCCCCCCCCACACACAGGAGTGTGGCCATCTGTCTCTCCGCCACCTTCTGTACCTTCCCCCAACCGCTGCCTTCCCAGCCCCGCCCCTTCCCTGATCCCCAGCTTCTCGGAAGCCCAACCCCCTCCACCTCCATCCCTGGTGCCTCTCATCTCTTGAAACATTTCCCAGGTTCCCGGTGCCGGCTCCCGCGCCTCAGCCTCCTCCCTACCTCGGTGTGGATGTCCTTCGCCTTGAAGTTGAGCCCACAGCCCACGGTGACATTGACGCAGCAGGAGTCGGGGACCCAGTTCTTGGGCTCCAGAGGGAGCTTCTGCCAATCTGTGTAGTTATCCGCCCCGCAGCAGCTGAACTGGGGGGGAGACACAGGGGAGGCTGTCAGTGAGCCTCCCCCTTCAGTAGGAAGACGGGCGCCTTCTTCCTCCACTGCCCCTGACCCAGGACCCCACTCACTTGTGTCTGCATCTTGTCCAGGTAAACATCGGTCTGGTTCTGTTTGGGATAATTCTCCACGTGCTGCCGGAAGTCCTTACTGAATTCTGACCTCACCTGGGAGCAGGAAGTCGAGGTCAGCATTCAGGGCTCCTGGGTCCCAGAGCCTGTCCGAGGGAAGGCTCTCCCTTCTTCCTTGCTTACCTTGTCTCGAAGCACATAGCCAGCGATGGCGGTGGCCACCTCCACCAGCAAGATGAGAGACAGGAAGATGACAAACTGCAGGCACAAGGACTGGCGTCGGGTTTGGAGTCGGGCCTGGTGGCCCAGCCAGCCTCGGGAACACTCCCCGGCCCACCTCGGGGCCCTCCACAGACGTGACCCCCAGAAGTCCCACACACCCCACGGGCCCACCGCCCCCTCACCGTGACCATAAGACAGTAGCTCTCCTGGCAGGCCCCGCAGCAGCCCACAATGGCCACCAGGAAGAGGAAGGCGCCCACGGCGATGATGACCACAGGCAGCACGCCGCTGGCGGTCCCCTGGTCCACGGTCGCATTGAAGACCAGCAGGGTGCCCACGCCCACGGCCATCAGCCCCACCGCACAGGCCTGCGGAGAGAGCAGGGGGGTCAGGCCAGACCCAGGCCCCTCTGGAGGGCAGCGGGCGCACCCCGAGTCAGACTGCACCCCGTCTGGGAGAGGCAGATTCTCACCCTCCGGAAATCGGCTGTGGGGAGGGAGAGGGTGACCCATCGTCACCCACAGTTTGATCGACTGCAAAAAGAGAAGTTCCCAGAAAGCTTTAACCCTGAAACCCCAGGGCACACTTTCAGAGTAGAGTTAGCCCCCTGGGGCGTCTGGGGCTCAGAGAGCCGCCCTGTCACTCCCTCGCCCAACCCGTGCCCATCAGCTGGGGGGGGGGGGGACCCCAAGCCAGGGAGCTCGCTGGGCTGAGCGTCCTCCCAGGACACCGCGACTGCGGGTTTGATCCCATCAGAGCACGTTCAGGAATCAGCCAGTGAATGCATAAACAAGTGGAACAACAAATAGATGTTTCTCTCCCTCCCTAACTCTCTCTCTAAAATCAATAAATAAAAATTTTAAAAGGAGGCAGGGGGCCCCTCCCTGGACAAACAGTGCCCCGGGCAGTGATAGCATCAGCCGTTGGCCGGTTGCCCCACTAACCCTATCACAAGGTTGGTCACCAGACAGGAAGGCCCGGCGGGGTGAGGGGGCCCCTCCACATCCACACCGGCCGCGGGGTCCCCAAGGCGGCGGAGGGGTGGCCGCTGCCCGGGCCTCCTCCCACATCTGGCCTCCAGCTGCCTCCGTTCCCGGTCCCCGGTCCCCCGCCCCCCGCACTCACGAAGAAGGCCAGCAGCAGGACGTAGTGCAGGATCTTGACACACTTCATGGCTCCTTCCACCGCCATGGTGCCGGGCCTGGCAGGGCAGCCCGGGGTGAGGACCGGCGGGGGGCTCGGCTTCCGGGCTCCGCCGGCCCGGAGCCTCCCTTCCCCGCTCGGCCCCTTCCCGGCCCCTTCCCGGCCCCGGCCCCGCCCCCGGAACCCGCGGCACATCCACGTCTCCAGCCCCCTCCCCTCCGCTCCGCGGCCGGACCGCCGCCGCCCGCACCGGGCGGACCGAGGGCGCGGGCAGGGGCCGCCGCCCGCCGGGCCTCAGACCCCCGCCGGCCCCTCCGAGAACCGCCCGGCCCGGCCCGGCCCGGCCGCCCGCGGCCACTGCCCGCGCCCCGGCGCCCGCGGAGCAGTGCGCCCGCCCCGGGCCGCCGCGGAGCGCCCACAAGTTGCAAAGTTGCGGGGCCGGGGCCGGGGCGCGGCGGGCCGGGGCGCGGGCGGGGGTCCAGCGCCCCGGCCCCGGCCGCCGCTCACCTGGTGCTGAGGCTGCCGCTCCGCTCCCGCCGCTCCGGCCGCCGCGCAGGGCTCAGTGCGCCCGCCCCGCCCCGCCCCGCCCGCGCCCTCCTCCCGCCCCCGCCCCCCGCTCCTCATGTGACGGGACCCGGCGGCCTGAGTCACCCCGGGGAGGCCGAGCCGCTTCCTGCGTTCCACGTGGACCCCCGAGTCGGCGCCCACCGCGCCGTGGAGGCGCCGGGGCCGGAGCGGGTGCCCGGGGCTCCCTGCGCCCCGCCCCGGCGGCTGGGCGGGAGAGCGGGGCGGGGGCGAGCCCGGGCCGGGCTGGGGTCCCCCTCCGGAGCCGCTCCTTCCGACGGCTCCCGCCCGCTTCTCCCCGAGGGCGGGGGCCGGGCCCGGCGCCCAGAGTGAACACTCCCCGGGTCCCCGCCGCCTCCCGGAGGGGCCCCCGCCGGTCCCCTCTCCACGCCGGGCGGCTGGGGCGGCCGGGCGGAGGACGCCCTCCCCCGCCACCGCAGCCCCCCGGCCGCTCCCCGGGAGGACCGGCCGGCGCGTGTGCCCGCCGCCCCGGGCAGCGGGGGGCACAGGCCCGGAGCCCCGCCCGCCCGCCCGGCCGGCACCGCCGCAGCCCCGGGCGGACGGACGGACGGCGGGCAGGCGCCCCGCCCCCCCGCCCCGGGACCGCCCGGGGCCCGGAAGGAAGGGGCTGCGGGAACCGGCCGAGGCCGGAGCCGGCCAGCGCGGGCCCCGCCCCGCCTGCGCCCGCCTCGGCCCCGGGTCCGGCTCCGGCCGCTTCCTGCGCCCGGGAGGAAGGACCGGGAGCCGCGGGGGAGGGTCGGGGCGCAGCGGTCCGGACCCCCCGGGGCGGCGGGCTGGGGTGGATGTGCTGAGGGGGAGCTTCCCGGGTCCGGGTGCGGGGGCCCGGCCGGGAGGGAGGCGGCGGGGCCGCAGCCCGGGGGAGGGAAAGACGGCGCTTCGGAGGCCTCGGAGCCGGCGCGCAGGACGAGGAAAGCAGAGCTTGCGCCATGGCCAGCGGGGCTGGTGGCTGATGGCCGGGGGAAGAGTGTGGAGAGCGATGGACGGGAAAGGCGGGCTGAAGTCGCGATTAAGAACTTTTGCACAGCCGAAACCGGTTTGGCTCCGTGGACAGAGCGTCGGCCTGCGGACTGAAGGGTCCCAGGTTCGATTCCGGTCAGGGGCATGTACATCGGTTGCGGGCACATCCCCGGTAGGGTGTGTGCAGGAGGCAGCTGATGGATGATTCTCATCGATGTTTCTAACTCTTTATCTCTCTCTTCCTCTCTGTAAAAAAATCAATAAAATATATATTAAAAAAAAAAAAAAACTTTGGACAGATAACAACCAAGTGCAATCTTCCGGCAAACAAACTGAAAGGTATTTTGGGAACAACGGGAGAAATTTGAATATGAACTGAGTATAAATGTTTTAGCCGTGATGATAGTATGATTATATGGGAAATTACTCTATTTTTTTTTTAATATTTTGTCTTTTTTAGAGGGAGAAAAAAAATAAAATACTGATGTGAGAGCAGAACACCCATTGGCTGCCTCCTGCAACCCCTAATGGGGATCAAGCCAGCAACCTGGGCCAGGGCCCTGACCCTATGACGTAACCTTTCAGTGCATCCTACCGCCACACCAGCCGGGGTGACTGTTCTTTTCGGTGCACACTAAAATACTCCTGGAGGGGTGTCTGTCAGTAACTGGCTTTGGAATGCTTCACAAAGCACCAGGTGGAGCACAGAGAAGACAGTCCGGGTGACAAGACCGCTGAGACCGGAGAAGGCCATGTTGGGCCCGTTCTAAAGGCACCCGCGCGTGCGGGGAGCTGTGGGCGGGGAGCTGTATCGGCCGTGGACTACATCGGAATGAGGAGCGGGTGGCAGGTGTTCTGGAAGACGGCTGGGACCTCACTGCCACAGTCCGCTCAGGAGCTGGTGAGGCTGGGACCGGAGAGAGGAGGGAAGTCCCAGGGGGCATTTCAGAGGCAAATTAAAGGGCTGAGTGACTGCTCATCTGTGGGAGGGGGAGAGGAAGTAGGAAAAGTCCGAGGTGATTCAGGGGTACCCTTGTCTCCACAACAGCAGCGCCAGGCTGCCCTCCTGCTCTACAACCCTCCACCCAGTGCCAGCAGCAGGACATGGAAGCCACAGGTGTCCCAAGTGAAGTGGTGCCCTCTGAGAGCACACAGGCATTGCAGAACTGTGCCAGTGCCCACACCCATACAAGGAGCCCAGACAACTCTCCACTCAGCAGCGCCCCGAGGCCCCCCGCCTAGGCTCACGGGGAGGGGATCTGCTCAGAAAGGAGACTGGCTGTTAATGAAATACCTTTCACGGGTTCCCTGGGAGGCTAGGCCCCTGAATTCAGAACTGCCCCCTGCAGAGACCACGGTGGGGTGGGGGGGGGCAGGGGAAAGGAGGGGAAGAAAGAGAAGGGCTGAGGAAAGTTGGGGGTGGGGTGAGGATAGAGAGGAGGGTGGAGAATATGGCAGAGGCTGGGGATGTGAGATGGGAACAGAAAGACGAGGGACGTGTGGGGAGACAGATGGGAGAGAGAAAGGAAAGGAAGGCTACATGAAGGCCATCTCTCTGAGGAGGGGAGGAGAGGTAGTGGCTGCAATTTCTTTATATATACATATTTTTTTAAATTGATTTTTTTACAGAGGAAGGGAGAAGGATAGAGAGAGGAACATTGATCACCTGCCTCCTGCACACACCCCACCGGGGATGTGTCTGCAACCAAGGTACATGCCCTCGACCGGAATCGAACCTGGGACCCTTCAGTCCGCAGGCCGATGCTCTATCCACTGAGCCAAACCGGTTATAGCAGTGGCTGTAATTTCATGTCAAGAGGTTGGGTCTGAATTGGGGGCCTGAGATTTAATCTGGAGTCCCCAGTTTGGATATGAGGAAGCATCGGTGGTTGATGTCAGTCCCCAAACTGCAAAATTAGATCCAAAGCTACGGCTCTGAGGCGGGTAGGGGGTTAGAGAGCAACCAAAGGACTTGTATGCCTGCTGATTAGCATAACCAATGGGCACAGACACTGGGCAGCGGGAGTGGCCAGGGAGGGGCTCAATCTGGGAAAGGAGACATATGTAACTCTTTTAACGGTTAAAACAAGCTATGGCTCTGCAGATCATGCTGATAGAAAGGTCCACTGACCGCCCACCCCTCCCCACCCTCCAACAGCCTCCCCAGAAAGCCAGGGAGAGGCCCCCCCCCCTGGCGCAGGACAAGCACTGGCTGTGGAGTCGCTGCGGTGGTCAGTTCTGACTCCTCCAGCCCTTTGGGCACGACTAGGTCACAGACTGCACCGGGTACCCAGGAGAGCCAGCATCCCCTGACATCGCCAGGGAGTTAGGTTTGGAGAGATTAAGCCACTCACTCCGAGGCCACCTGAAGGAAAGAACCCGAACCCGGGTCCTGACACAAACGCCAGTGCCAGTGCCCCACGCACACCACCAGCAAGAAGCGCCCTGAGGTCAGGGGCCCAGGCGGGAGACGGGACTTTCTCTCCCCGACCCTGAGCTCCCTCAGGCAGAAGGAACGACTCCTTCCTCACCTCCCAGGGCGGTTGTGAGGATCTCAGAAGAAATGGATGGGATCAGTTCCCGCACCTTAAGAATAAAAGCTTTAGCCGAAACCGGTTTGGCTCAGTGGTAGAGCGTCGGCCTGCGGACTGGAGGGTCCCGGGTGCGATTCTGGTCAAGGGCATGTATCTTGGTTGCGGGCACATCCCCAGTGGGGGGTGTGCAAGAGGCAGCTGATGGATGATTCTCTCTCATCGATGTTTCTGACTCTCTATTCCTCTTTCTTCCTCTCTGTAAAAAATCAATAAAATATATTTTTTTAAAAAAGAATAAAAACTTTAGAAAAAGTCAGAGAAAGACAAGTATCACATGATCTCGCTCATATGTGGAATCTAATGAACAAAATAAACTGATGGATCCTAAGACATGGGACGGAGTGCAGAATCTCGGAGGGAAGGAGAGGGAGGGATGGTGGGTGGGAAGTAATAATAAAAGAATAAAAGCTTTATCATAGTCTGTTTTTGTTTATTTTTACTCCTTCAGAGTGGGTGGAAGAGAGAGGGAAAGATGGAGATGTGGATGTGAGAGAAACCCACTGATTGGTTGCCTCCTGCACAGGCAGCGACCAGGGCCCTGGCTGGGAGGAGCCTGCAGCCCAACGAGGAAGGAGGAACTCGCCCTTGACCGGAATGGAACCCGGGACCCTTCAGCCCACAGGCCTACTCTACCCACCGAGCCAAACCTAGGACCATCCCACCCCGTCTTTAGACGCATGGGAATTAACGCGATTTCGTTTGGGGAAACATCTAGACTCCACACACCCCCACCCTGAAGGTGGCCAAGGGTTCAGAGGGACAATCCGGGCCCTTGGCCCCTCCCACCAGGTTGGCCTCAGCCCAGAGCCCCGTTCACGCTCCAGTTCCAGCCCTCAGGGCCCGCCCCCACTGCCGGGCCTGTCCTCGGCGCCCGCCTCCCTCCTCCCCCCCTCCCTCCACACTCCTTGGCCC